GAACAATAAAGTTATCATCTGCTTGCTGCTGTCCAATTGTCCATTTAGTCCGACATCATTGATGATTATTTTCCATATAAATAATAGAAATTTTTTTATTTAAAAACTTTGATAAAAGGAACATATGATAACTTATCATAATTAATTGAGTAATTAACAAAGAACTTAACAAACTAATTGAGCATACTTTTGATATATCTTTTAGTACAGAAAGATGAAAAAATAGGAATGATTTTTATTAAGTAACAAACAAAAAGTCATTTCAATTTTAAATTGGAGAAGGACAAAGAAAATGAAGAGAGATTTGAGGAATATGCAAATGATCAGTGACTGCACTCTCGCCTCACCGCGGTATGAAGAATAATAATTAAACATAAGATTAATAATAAACTTATACTTTAAGTGTATATCATTTTTATTATATAATTTTTTTTCGGTTTTTAAAACATTTCTTATTTTATTCTGTAATTTTACAGTAATTTCAAAAAAAGAAAGAAATTTTTTCAATTCTAAAATGTTAAAACTATCGTAAGAATTTTAAAAAAAAAACGTTAAATTTTAGAATGTGAAATTTAGGATGAAAGAATGCGGGAAAAACGATCAGTAGAATTTAGAGGAATAAAATGAATAAGGAGAAGATCATTCATTCATTGATAAGAAGAAGTAATGCAGAAATTGCCTGTCAATCGAAATCGTTCGATCCATTATTTTTATAGTTGTAATTGCATTAACAAAGTATCCGGGTAAGTGTTTCTTAGTATTGAAAATTGCTTTAAAAATAAAAGTATCTAAGAGTTTTAGTTGGACATCTAAAATTTGATAGAATTGTTAAAAAAGGAAAAAGTAGCCAAATGAATAGAGAAATAGAAAAATTTTCCATATTTTACAGTAATTACATAGCATCTATTTTACAGTAATTAAATAGCATCTATTTTACAGTAATTGCATGGCATCTATTTTACAGTAATCACAAAACTGTGTACTGTTTTGCTTCCTTTCAATTCATTGCCATTACCAAAAGTAAGGTAAAATTATTTGCCGGAAAAGCAAAAATTATCTTTTATCAATGAAAAGAGAACAGAAAAAATGATAAGCCTTATAAATAAATTATATTAAAAGCTTTTTACAATATTTCTACTCTTTTATAATTCTGACTGAAATCAAAAAAGAAACAATGATTATAATCATATCAGATTTCCTCTATAGATCAACCAAAACTAAAATCATTCCGATCATTTCGATTATAAGTTCATATTGTCTTAACATTTTTATCTATTCCTTCTTTTTTCACCTTATCGAACTCATTGATCTTATCAGTGATATAAATATGATAAGGAAATTCTGCATATGTCAAAACATTTAGAATCTTTGCATTATTTTCTCGTAAAATTAACTTCTTATTAAATAATTCTATAATAAGCAATATTTCCTTAGATTTTTTTTCTCGAAAATTCTAAAACGATTTTCTTGAACTAAAAATTCAATAATTGAAGGCTTTTTAAGAATTTCAAATGCCGGAAATACTGTACTAAGTAGCTTAAGTTAAATAAAACGAACGCCTGTTCACTTTATCCTCCCCGATCCGAAAAACGGTGCAATTTACGGTGAAATAAGATGAAATGACAGTCAAGTATGACAGTTGCTGCAACTGCTTCTTATAAATGTTAACAAAAATTAGTTGAAAGCATCAAAGGAACAGTACCGCTTTTGAAAATGAAATTGTAATAGAGAAATTGTCGTAATAGTACAACGGCTACAATCGCTAAGATGGAATTATTAATAATGTAATGGTTGATGAGAGGAAAGATAAAACAAAAAGATAGTTATTGCGCTTTTAGCAAATGTAAGCAAACGAATTCTTTCAATTCTTAATTTGCGGGTAATTTCAGTATTATTAATCGTGAAACCATTTACTTAATCGTATAGTATTTGCCATTTCAATTAATAGAAAAAAATATTTCCTGGTTACAAACATCAAAGTAAGTGCGTCATAGTTGTAATTTACCAGCGTACTATTTATGACTGGCATGTCAGAAGAAGTTTTATGCTATTTATATTATTATAGTACTCTCTCATTTTCACTTTGATCTTTGTAACCATGAAATATTTCTTTCTATTAATTGAAATGCAAACATTATACGATTATGCAAATGATTCCACGATTAAAAACACTCAGCTGTTATTAACGTGTAATTAAATGGCATATATGATGAATTGAGTAAAGAAGGAAAGTATGATTTAGAAATTGAAAAAGAAAGACTTCATATATTTGGTTCACATATTCTTTCTATAAAAAATATATATTTCACTTTTTGCATGAATCGATGATGATTCTGAGAAGTTCATGCGCAAATATATCGGACATACAGTTACGTGACCTCTAAAAATGTCATCTGTCGAATAACTAAACATTAGTATATAAAATGGATGAAACCAATCAAATGGCCTTTTTGTATAGGAATGTAAACATATCCATTTGAACAAATGTTATTGAGGCTATATAAAATACTAAATGGATCGAATGACACAAATATATTTCCTGAATGTTACCCTAAGCACTTCTTATTTTCAGGCAGATTTTAGTTAAATTTCTGGTGCAAAAATTAATTAGATATTAGTGCAAAATAATTCAAAATATGAGAAATAGCAAATTAAAATTACTATTAAGGCACTAAAAATAGAAAATAAAATAATTTATGGTAAAAAATATCCAGGTGTTCGTGGATTAAGCCGCTGCAATTAATTTAACCATTTCATCGGATATAAATGCAAAGTTTTCAAATATTTGCAACAATGATTAAAACTGACCAGCAAAGAAGCACTGTTAGAAATGGGAATATAAGCTCAATTCTCTAAAATTTCAATTCAAATTGAAATAAGCTAAAGCAGTGTAAAGAGAAGCCGCATGGATTAAATCGCTGCAACATTGAGTGCGGACACTCATATGTTCAGCAATTTCAATGGATGGATTTTGCATTTCTACCAAAATAATTCCATACTTGCTTCAGTTTAGCTTCAGCTGAATTAAATAAAATATCAGTTTTACTTTTATTATTTTAGATTGCAGCTCAAACAACGGCGGAAATAATGCAATTATCCCAGCGATGCTCGGCGCACCTGTGGATATAGTGAATGTATTATTTTAAAGTTTCACTTATATTAGTTCCTATTTAGTCTTTCAAATATCATTTATGGCCAAACTGATAATAATGTAAAACCTTTCTAAGTATATCAAATAATCCGCCATCTTACAAATTTTTATTTGAATTCTTAATAATTTTTCTGTAAAAGAGAAATGTTGCGAGCATGCTGACAGAGTTCTTCTTTCATTTTCTACTGTTTAGTAATAACATTGATGGCTGTCACATTGTCAACCATATGGACTGAGCAAATTTTAGTGATAACCATTATTGGAATAATTTTGGGCAGCAGAATGTTTTCATTCCTTTCAGATTTATTGCACTGATCCGATTGGCACAATAACTTTTTTGGAACTTTAAGCTTCCTCGATATACTATCCTTGGAATCATTAGAACCACAATTCCATAATAATCGCTTTGCAAAAGCTATTTGGAGCGCTCATTGGTAACAATCTTTTTTTTCTCTCAAGTTATGATTGAAAATATTTCTCAATTTTTACCTGACATGTTAGAAATGAAACTGACCACATAAACATGAAATTTCAAGATGATATGAAATTGATGACTGTTTTTATTTCAGTGTGGGACTCAGATTGGCTCAATATCAAATAAACATGGAATGAGCAATTCCTAATCGATTTGATAAGCTATACATCTGAGCTATGATATGGTGATAACGTTGAAACAGCGATGATCCGTGTACAACAACAGGAAAGTTGGAAGCAGAACTTATGAAATGGAACATTCGACTTATAGGATCATATGAAGATGTAATAATTAAAATTACTTTAATGTTCGATTTGTCAATCGCTATTAGACCATACTAATTTCCCGTAAAATTTGCAATTATTTCTTTTATTGAATTATTATTGCTTTCTTTCAAAAGTCATCAAATAATCGCTTTCCATTCCATTGTGCAAAAGTTATATAACGAAAATGAGTGAGTATGGAATGTTTATTTGAACAATTAAGATTGATAACATGATATGATGCTTTTTTTAACTCACAAATTTATTTATATTAAGTAATTTCAGGAAAATATCTAATATTAAATTGCTTACTTCACGTTTGGCTGGTAATAGAGATCGGTATTCCATAGAAAGAGTAAAAAAGCTGAGCCGTTATTGGCGATAGTTAATTTCAAGAAATCCTGATATAATGAAGAAATATATTAAATCGAATAGAACAATCTTATTGCCAAAATATTTCTTTTATTAATATAAAATAGCGCTGCGTTTTCTTCTCAATGCAAAAAATCAATTAATCAATAAAACTTGAAACTTATATTTAAACATCAAAGGTAAGCTTAAATAGATTTCCTTCTCAATGCAAAAATCATTATTTTATATAAATTCAACAATGCAATAAACATGAAATTGAGCGCTTATTAATTTAATTTCGATTAGAAATTAATTTATCGATAAGAAATTTACAACTTATCCATTGTACATTAAATTTGGTAGAAGCAGAAGGTAAATGTGTGATATAAAAATAAATTTAATGTTTTTTAACAGAAATTTCTTAATATGAGAATTAACATATTTAATAGAACATTGCCCGTATAAAAGAAAGAATGAAATAAAATCTTGAAGTTAATTATTTCTTGAATCTCTCTCTATCTTCTAAATTTTCATGCCTTCCATAAATTTCAGAATTAGAAAATTCAAACTGCAAATTTCGTTTTAGTGTTTGACAATAAAATTTCTAAAATCATAATTACATAAAATGGTTTCCTGATGGAACAGGAAAATTTCCCTGCGTGGTCACAATTTGTTATCAAAATTTTAGATCATACTTTCAATTTTCAACTCATTTGTAAAACATTAAAATTCCATTTAAAAGAGATAAAGCTTATCTCAATTAATGCCGCTGCTTCTTCATATCCAATAAAAGTTCACTAAGTGGTTGAAATACCGGTACTGAATCAGAATTAACCACATTAGCCTGCAGGTAAATTATATAATTAATAAATTATACAATTATTTTAATTCATATCATTATTTTTAATACATTTATGTTTTCTATATGTTCTTGCATACAATCCATATAATTCACCTGAATTTCATCGTTAGAAACTAACATTAAATGAGCAAATATTGATTGAGCTGTTTGATGTGAAACAAGCATTCATCCGACTTGCTGGACTCAAAATTTCGTCTACTTTAGCATAAATCAAATCATTGATTTCTGGATCGCCGTGTACTTCATCTTTACAAACTGCAAAAGGTCCTCTGGATGAGCCTTGATTTGATTCGAAATACTGCAAAAGAATAAAAGTTCGGAATTTGAATTTGTAATTAAGCAGTGGATCATTAGATTCATTAAACTGTCAGCTTGAACTGTAATCTCAATCCGATAAGACTATATGAGGATCGAATTAAGGTTTTTATTTCATCTTTCAATCTATATATTAGGAAATACCAATCAGTTTTCACCTTATTCGGTGTCACTCCAACCTGATTAAGATAATCAGTGACCGAACTTGTAATTGATATATCATCCAGATCAATACCTGAATCAGGCATTGAATACGATGCAGGATGATTTCCCATTTGTGTTTCCATCGGTCTGAAGAAATTTATTTGATGGATGTGCAGAATATATTTATTAGCAAATAGAAATCTTCAAACGATACCGAACAAACTGCCAGCTAATTTTGACAAAATAATGCAATACATTAACGTAAAATTTAAATTTATTTTAAAACAACGCTCGTTAGGAAATTTTTCATACTTTTTTCTGTTTTTTGCATATTAGGAAATTTATTTTTTACTTTCATCAAATGTAAAACTTACGATTTAAAGGTAAATTTCGCAGAGTTATTATTGGCATGTGTGAAAGATGAGGAAGAATTCTGTAAAAAGTTAAAGGTAATGTCATGTTAGGATAGAAAATAAACAGCACTGTCCAAAAAGTTGGAAAGTTCCATCCGAAAACAATACCTTAAATTTGGCATAGGGTGAAGAGGGAAGCGGGACGAGCTGTGTTTCTCGTTCATGACATAACGATGATCGATTCAAGTCTCCTACCACCGCAAAGTTATCTTTGTTAATGCTATAAACCTACAAAATCTTTATAATGTAAGAGAAATAAGGAGCTGAGCCTTAAAAATTTAAGAAAATATTCTTAGTGAACATTGTTTATTAAAAAACGTCACGAATGCGCTCCCAGCCACTGCTTCGGCTCGATTGGTGACAATGAAGAATGGAGAACGTCTTATGCTATCCGTGAACTGATTCTATTATAATTCATCATTTGCTAAGATAAAAGAGTTTTGTCGGACCTTCCTATTATGTACTATTCCGTAGCGCCTTATTTGAATCGTTTGATTCCAAATTATTTCCTTAACTTTAATAAGGCTTCGGAAATTTTTTTACTTGTTTCTTTGGTTTTGTACGGCTTTTCGTCTTCATATTGATGATCAGTAAAATAAGAGCGAACAATAGAAAGAAAAGTAACAATAACGAGCCAATGGTCAAGATTTGGGTTACTGTCAAAGTTTTTGTTGTTAACAACACATCCGGCGGCGAGAAGTCACCAATCTGCAAATATGAAATGACTGCTTTCATTTTAATTACTTCCGAATCCCAAAACATTTGATAAAGAATTGGTATATGTAATTAGTAATAGTGAATTTCAGACTTCAAAATTTTTTCAAATCTAACAAGATTTATTATAAAATCACGGATAAAGTGTACGTAAACACTAACAGACCTTTATGATCACTTTAGTCCAAGAACTTTGCTTTGCACTAGAACTAGCGATCACTATTAATTCATCACTTGTAACATTGGTGGCTGTCCTGAAATTTGTTGAAATATCACATTTCATCCACCAATTCATCATAAATGCTCTCTTAAGGCGAAGCAGTTTGATAGACATTCTCATGTCTCGCCTAACAAATCATAAAATAGGGTTGAGTTTATTGAATATTTTTCAGGATCGAAAAGAATTTATGAATTTTAGAATAACCACTAGCAAACATCGTATACCTGTAATGGGGCGTGTGTGATAGCACAATTTGCCCTGTGCTCGGATCAATATCTAAATATCGCGCTGCACTTCCTTGTATTTCATACCGGATTACACCATTTATACCCGAGTCGTGATCCGTTGCTGATATGACTCCAATACGTTGACCAATTTGGGAATTTTTCGGAATCTGACATAGTTTTGAACTTTTTGCACTTTTTTCGACATTTTGCCATAAACATAAACTTTTAAGCATAACCGAAAATTCCCAACAAACATAACGTTTTGGAATCATCTGCTCTTAGCTGATTTGAGTTGATCCTTTTCGAAATTTCATCTCTTCTTTTAGTCTAATTTCCGCTGTTTATCAATTCTCTTTAATTTTTACTTACTCCTCTAAAAGGCAGCCTTTAATATGATCTGTTTGCTTGAGCAAAACAAAACTCACCTCGGCAGGAAATATTTCTATTCGGGAATCAATTATTTTTTAATTAATATGACCGAATTTGCAAATATATAATAATACTAAATTGGTATTTATCCTAACTCATATTAATAAATACAGTGCTCTTACTTGAAGGACATAATTAGTTTTTGTGAAAATTGGTGGATATTCATCAATACCAAGAACTCGGATACGAACTGATACTGTTGCTGATCGATTGCGATTATCTTGAACCTTCAGGATGAATTCATATTTTGTCTGCGTTTCGAAATCCAAATCTTTGATAAGTTCTATATAGCCAGTACTTCTGTTGCATGCAAATGACTGAAGAAGTAATAAACATATTTAAATGATTAATATAGAAAAATATTAAAATTTTGGGCAATTTTTCGCATGAAAACGGATAATACAAAAATGATAAAACAGGAATATTAATTGTATTTTGAATAATTTCAAGGCAGATATGAATACTAAGCTGAGATTGAAATGACATAAAATATGTGGTAGCACTGTTTGAAAAAACTCGATAATTTGTCGTTATTTTGATGATCCATTCGTAAACTTCCCAGAAAGATCGAAACAGTTTGCTGATAGGATCAAAAATTGAGACAAATAAGGTATATTAAGATGATGAAAAGAATTCAATAATTTAAAGAAGGCAAAAGGATTCACCTCGTTGGTATCTGTTACTGTGTAAACCCAATTACTATCAGACAATCCTAATTTATTGACAGCTTTTGAACGTAATACAACACTTCCTTTCGGTAAATCCTCGAATATGCTCGCTTCGTATTGTGAAACGACAAAGAACGGAGCACTAGCTGATGAGAAATTGGAATCAAAACGGATTCGAACCGAGGTCCAATTAAATCGAGGTGGTGCACCGTTATCGAAAGCCGCAATTAATAGGTTATTAAGATTATCATTTAAATACATTTCCTCAATATCAACATTTTTCTCCAAATACAATATTCCGGAAGAACTGTTCAAATTGAACATTCCATAATCGTTTCCAGATAGCACTTGATAAGAAACGCGTCCGTTATCACCACTATCACTGTCCGTAGCCACAAATCTGATAACATTTTTTGATCTAATAATTTCAGTCTTTCAGTTTGTTAGACAATCCTGACTAATATATCTTAATTATTCTAATATCATTCACATATTATTGCCAGTAAAGATATTTTTATAAAAATTCGATCACTTCGAAAATAACTATTTACAATAATAGGCTGCTTACAATATTTCTAAATAACAGCTTAGTTTGAATTTTGAACATTTGTGGATTAATAATAGAAAGAAACAAATAAAATATTCATTATTAATTCATATCACATTTAATTAAGAACAAATTAATATCCTTAAATTTCTGCAAACATAAAGTAAAGTATCGTAAGATATACCTCGCTAATACTTCATTTCTAACCATTCCTGCGTTAATCGTTATTTCATTGATTTTTTCTGTAAAATATGGTACATTATCATTTAAATCCGCTACTTTCACATACACTTTTGCGGATGAATTATATATCGCATACGGCGACGATGCCTCAACCTGAAAATCAACTCGCATGACATTTCTGACTTATTTTCATGCAGTATTTTTTACCATTCATTTTCTTTCGTCCTCTTTTGCAGTCAGAAATCTTAAAAATAAAACCAACCGAGAACTCAAATTCACTTTTGAATTCAGCATCAATAGGATATTTCAGAAAAACTGAACCATCGCTGGAGATTTCGAAAATATTGGCATGCTCGAAATTTTGAATCCGCAACAATGTGTTTGTTGGTAATTGGCCCATTAAAGTCACTTTGCCAATCTCAGTGTATGGATGAGTGTTTTCCGGTATCGTAAAACTGAATGTCGATTCAATTGTTTCGTGATTGAAAATGGTTCGAAATATAATCTGTTTGACAGCTTGAAACATCCAGTTGGTATGTTTATGTGTATGAAAGAATTTCAAAAGCGAGAACTTCAAATTGCTGTTTTCTGGATAACTTATAAAGCTATACTTGAATGATGTTTCAGTGAACCGTATGGGTTTCCGGTCGTAATCTTCAATTCCAACATTGATTTGAACAGCAACGACAGAACTTTGCACTGGCTTACCCCAATCAAATGCGTGAACCTTTAGATAATATGTTGACTGATCTTCCAGTTTGCCGATCACCAATAGATCGCCTGGAATTTTATTTGTTCTGAATAGCAAAGCAACATTTAACTATGGCGATTTATTAGGTGGTGAATATGAATAATTATGCAATTTAGGTATGAATAGTCGAGCATCTGGTTCCTAATCTGCCAACTGCCTTGCACAGAATAAATCAACCAGCCGCACCTAATTCAGGATCAATCCTGAAACCTTTCACGCTATTCATTGCTAGTTCATAGCGAACTGTACCAGCAAGCCCTGTGTCCGGATCATTTGCTCGTATTTTAGCAATCGTTGAACCGAACTCAACATCTCTTGCAATATTAATCAGGTAGAATTGCTCCTCAAATTGGGGTACATTATCATTAACATCTTCCACAATTATTCGTAAAGTAGCACGTGATGTGTTTTCCCCGTCTGTTACCTGTAAAAGATTTTGAATATTGTAGAACTGGAAATAATTATTTTTCACTACGATATCAATTCTCATCGGTATCGAAAACATTATGACTATTCGGCGCAATATATGTTCGGGTGATTAGATGTATGCTTCCAAATAACAATTCTTGGAGCTTAACTATAATATAATATATGAGTGCAACCTGAATATGAATGGTATGCTCTTTATTGGTTTCATAATCCAAATTTTGAATCAGAAATATTTTCCCAGTGAATGGATCAATTTCGAACAGATCATCGGATGACAATAAACTGTATTCCAGTTGTGTATCGGCGTCCACATCTGTCGCTACTGCCGTTCCTACCAAAGTACCGTATGTTGCTGCTGCAAATTCAACTTTTTGAAAATATTTATATTTCTAACACTTTAATTCAAAAGCAATGCATCATCGAAAATACTTCTTATTCAAGATCTACAGTAGTCTGAACCTTCCACAAATACTATAACAATATTTTCATAGCTAATTTAAAGATTATTACGGTAGATGCTCTATCTACGGTGTCGATTCACAAAGTGTTATACGGACTAGAGTTTATAGCAGGTAAATCAATAAATAATAATTCATTTAAAAATTTTTATTCTACTTACATTTATTTTTAATTCTAATTATTTTTAAAAAAATTATTTTTAAATTCAAATTTAATTATTCTAATTTCGAAAATGTTTGGTTAAAAATTATTAAAAAAGAAATAAAAATCACGATAAAACCTAACATTCAAATAGTTTCCGAGTTTTCAGCATTGGGAATGATGGGACATTATCGTTTGTATTGATCACTAAATTAAACAACCTTAAAATTGGAAAATAAATTAAGAAAATTTGAGTAGTTCATGGAGACATTTGAATGATACCTGAAATTCCATCCGTCTTTCTGATGATCTTTGTGGGCTATTATTAAAATTATTACATTAAACATCTGTTATATTAATAACATTTATTTATAAATTGTTAATTAACGATTCAATACCGCTATTCATTTCTCGATTCCTCTACAAATTTTTCAGAAATTCTTCAAAAAATAAGAAACCTCTTATATGTACATCTGTTTCAGGCGTGTTTTTCACGCTGCCCGTTCCGATCACTTTCAAAGTGTAAACATTTTCAATCTCGTAATCCAATTCCTGAGCAGTTGTTATGCGTCCATTATCATCGACATCGAATGCTGCATCTATATTACCACTTACAATGCTGTATGCTAACGGTGTATCTTCAGTCAAACGATCTAAGCTACGAACCTGAAAATTCCAAAACTTTCATATCTCACCTGATCTAATACCTATTTTTGTATTGTTCCTCTTTTAGGTTAATTTTAGCATTTGAATACTCCTTTAAGAGTTAATTTGATTCATAATATAGCGCTGTCTGAGAAGTACCTGAAGTACGAATTGCCCGCGTTGTTCACCTTCGTTTATAAAACCAATGTAATGTTCGCTTAGAAACTGTGGTTCCAATGCTGGTTCTGATTTGGATCTGATCAAATGAAGCTGGATGTCAAATTCCGATGACAAAACTCGAGAAACTCCTTGATCCTCCGCTTTTACTGTGACTGTATAGTTGCTCTGTGCAAGCAAATAATCTCTGAAAAGAACAAACCATTCTATTTCCACAGAGTTGTTGATTCTCAGAGGAAGCATTTTTTTTGCAAGCTGAAATTCACACACACCTAGCAAAAATGATTTCTCCAGTATCAGCTCGAATATCCAAGAGACCGCTGATATCATCGACAATGCTGTAGGTAATTTTGCCATTTGGACCCTCATCCTGATCTGTTGCTGATAACCTATGAATAACAAATATTATTTATTTCTTTAAAATGTTCCAGCAAGAAAGTTTTAACGAAAACGCAGGAAAATTTAAATGAATTAAAAAATTCATTTCCTTCTTTTCTGATTTTTGTTTGATTGGAGAAAAAATCCGAAAGAAATGCAAGATTAAGAATAGTAACAGCCAAGAAAGGTCTTTACTTCAGTCTTTTCTTTTTCAATTTTTGAGATAAAACAAATATACAATTATGCCCTCATTCACCTTCCTAATATTTCGCCAAGTTGTCTGTTATCATTAATCTCTATCAATGTCGGAATAGTATCATCGAAAACAGGCACATTATCATTTTCATCGGTTACTGTGATCCGCAACGTGCAAGTATCCTAGAAAGAGAACGAAAAACTTCTAGAACCATACAAATTTTCAAAGGAATAATTTTTAAAATTCAATGATTATTGTGTACTTACAGCTCTTCTTGGAATACCTTGATCTTCAGCAGTGATCACCAAAAAATAATGCGATTGTAGTTCACGATCCAACTCACGACATGACAGCAACCCCGTTGAAGAATTGAGGTAAAAGGCAGAATTTTCGTTTCCAGCTAATAATTTAGAAAAAGAAACTGAGTAGTAAGGATGTATTAATCATTTTCATTTTTCGTTTGATAATTTAAAAATGCCTATGAATTTTAGGCCTACTTTCTGTTGTTGTTAACGCTTCAAACGATGTTTCCTTTTATCTTTAGTAAATTCTAGGATATGCTATTATAGTTTCCGTAACACACACTATAATCAATAATCAGTAAGATGCTTACCAACTATTTTGTAAAAAATTTCACCATCACTACCATCATCTTCATCCCACGCATAAATACGAGTAAGATGTTTTGCAGCAACGTTTTCACGTATTGTCAAATTACCGCAACTTGAAGAAGAAATTCTTGGTGGGTATTGATTAGAACCAATTACGCTCAGATGGATAGATGCCCAGTCGATCAATCTTTCTTCTCCTGATGCTGTCACTGAAAGAAATTTTTTGAAATGTAGTTAAGTGATTCCTAAAAAAGCAATGAAGTATTCAACTTTCAGAAGTGGAAAATTTTTATTACCTGTTATACGAAATCATCCTTACGTTCCGGAAGAATAGAAGAGTAATTCATTTTGTGAATCATTGGTGGTTGAATTTTACCATTTAATCAAACTTTTAAATGTAAAGCACTTTGAAGATTTTTTTCCATTTTACAAAATATTTCATCAAAAATTTTGTTCATAGTTTGAGAACAATATGATTTATTCAAAGTTTGGGTTAACCGAAAAGGAGAATTCGTTAAATTGTGGTAATTTTTAAAACTTCTAATTCTTACCAAGCCAGTCATATTTTCCAGATGAAATTTTCTTTAGTAGTATCAATTTTCCATCATCCGACAATTGCAGAATATCATTCTCCGAAATAAAATACGAAAACAATTTCATATGTGGCCATTTACTTCCTGCGTATTGAAAATATGGGACATTATTAGTGAGATCGGATAAATGTAAATAATAATGACTTGTTATCTCATGTAAACTCACTACCAAGTGATAAATAATTATTGAATAATACTCTCGATTACTGCTCAAACTATTATCAAAATGTTATTATTACCATAAATTATCGCGCTGCTATCACCCATCCCCGCCAATTCTGTCCATCTTAAATTGGTTTCTACCTATTTCGTAATTATATCGATAGCACCTACTTTTTACGAAGAAGTCAAACAGAACAGTTCCTGGCGTAGCGCTGTTATTCATACTAATAAAATATTTCCGTTGTGGAAAAAATCTCCACTGTCGATGACCTGAATCAAATTTAGCGGTGATATTTTTTTCCATATACTTCGGTGGTACACCATTATCACTAGCTCGAATGCGTATACTTCGTTCACCGTTGAAACGATGTCTGAGAGCCAAAGTACCTGTAGCAAATTTATTATCTCTTAACATTATAGATTTATTTAGAATGCAAACTAATCACACAGTAATTAAATTATCAAATTCACTTATGATACGTCCAAATATTCCACGGCTTAATATATTATTCATTTGTTTCTTTATGAGGCTGTTATTCCTCAGTGCATCTCATAATGCTTCGTCTAATGTAAAGTTCATGCGATATTAAAATTACCGGTATTTGGGTCGATAATGAACGCGTCGTCCGTATTCCCCTCAACAAGCGCATAAGTGATTTTGGCATTATCGCCAGCATCATCGTCTGTGGCAACAACATGATGGATGATATCACCGTCAATAAAATTATTATTTATCGTTATCTTCTGTGAACTGAAGCAATGAAATTTTTGCAAAACAAGGAATGAATTTACAATAAATTGCTGTAATCTCATCGAATTTACTAGATTACCATTTAAATTTAGCAGGATTGAAGCAGGAAAATTGCAAAAGTTAGGGGAGATTGTCCCTCACAAAATAAAGTGAAAGTCAATTCCTGATAATTTTACTTTGCTGGACATAAATTTTATAAAATAGCTCGAAAAATCAAATACTAATTGCAGAAGAAAAATAAAAACCTTAAAAACTGTGGCTGATGATCGTTGGTATCTTCTACATCGATGAAAACAACACAGTGCGAACGTTTTGTCACGTCCCGATAGTTATCTTTCGCTTCTACCACTAGAAACAGCGATAAATCCTAGAATTAGTACATCAGTTAATTCAAATCAAATTCTGTTCTGTCTATCACTCAGGTGTTAATTATTCTCCTGAAAATATCAATTTTTCGGATTTTTAAGGATTCACTTTTCTGGATTTTTCCGAGACATAATCATTTCAACTGATTCGAATATTTTAGAAGTACTGGCAACAATGTATAAACAACCAGTAATATTTCAGACAATGCTCAATTCAACTGCAAGTAAAACTGCTCGGCTTAAGGCTCACTAACCTTCTTCCAATGTAACGATCGAATCAGTAATATTTCAGCAGTGTCTGGATCAATCGAAAACAAGCCTTTAGAACCTTCAACTATCGAATAACTCAACTGTCCAGCAGTATCTTCTTCAGCATCTTCAGCAGATACTTTCCCGATTATCGAACCTAGATTTCAATACAAATTGATAAAAAAAGTTTAAGCCACTTCTATGCTCTTCAAGTCTCACCGTAAATTGTCTTCTTAGCTTCTGTGAATAACGGATCTTTTCCAGATGAATTACCTGTCCGCTCATTTTCTTCAATCGTGAAAAATCGTGGACAATCGGAAAAATGAGGCCAGTGGATATTTGCTGGTTCTACTTCGATATAAACATTTTGTTGTTCGATTTGATAATGATCTTGTGAATCCCACTTTTGTACTTTGAGAAGATAACTTTTATCGCGAGCCCAACGGATACTTGTTGTAAGATATAATGTAGAAGTGATACTATCCAGGTAGAATGCATCTGTCTAAAGCAGTCAAACATGTAAATTTCCATTTTATTTGTTTCATTAAAAATAATCAATCCCATCGGACTTCCGTGCTGGGTTCACCAACAATCTTTTTTACAGGGTAATATTCTTGGAAAAAAATGATTCTTCCATTTTGATTACAAAATCTCAAAATAATGATAAAATTCTGCAAGCAAAAACTACCTCATTCTCCAAATGCCAAAATGTCTCGCTATTCCGTTCATTACTCAGTTTCACCAATTTTGAACCAACCGGAATAGTTCTCGATATCCTAAAATTGGACCATTTCTGAGACCTGAATGTGTCAACTATTTTATTCTTTTTTTAACAAGACACGGCGAAATTATGCAGAAACATGTCTTGATAATGTTTGATATAAGTTAACCTGAAGAAACAAATCACTGACCTTATCACAGTTGTCTTATCGCCCAGATGCGAAATTCCCAAAATAGATATATGAATAGTAAATGTAATTTGTTTTTGGTGTCCATCATTATCAAATGCTATTATGGAGAGCGTTCGACTGTCCTTTATTGTGGTTGCATTGAAATATGTCGAAGTACGAAGAGTATTGTTCGAAATCTCAAAATTACTCGAGATATCTAGAAGAAATAAAGTTAACTTGTTTGTCAGAATCACCCAATTTTATCTAAAAAAACGTTTTTTCCGGACAGCAATAAAAATATCAAAAAAATGGTCAGATGAGGAAGTGCTAAATCTTTCTTTAATATTAAACTGAAAATTTCGCCTTTTTAGTAAAGTTCGAAAATTGGAATTCATACCGCTCATTTCAATTTCCCATCTAGCAACATCCGTTGCATTCAACACCTTTAATAAACAGCCTGATGCGCATTTCCCATCGATCCTGAAAATTCAATCAATATAAGTGAAGGTTATGAATTTCAAGTATCTGATTAAATTTTGATAGAATTTCTCTTAAACAATCTTGCATTTATAATATCCAGACTTCAGGATGAATTACAATGCGTGAAATTCATTGATAGTATGATAACCACATAACACTCTGTAGTATCTCATGTAGTGATAATTGAGAAAAATTAAGATTATAATTCCCGAATCAATCAATAATTTGTTTGACCCATCATTGAATATTTTTAAATTAATCTGTACACATTTATATTTTTTAAATATATTTTTTATTTTTAAATTAATCTGTACAATTTAACTTACTTAATGATGCGATCCATTGGTTCCAGAAATTCGACTTTAGAATGCATTTTTCCAACAATGATGCGAATTGGACAGATAGTTGATCGAGATTGCATGTCACCATTTCGATCGAGAACTACTACTGACAGGCGGATTTCTTTTCTGTAGTCTTTTTCCGAAAGTTTCTTTTTCAGGAATAATTCTCCTACGATAAGAAAAAATTTAATTTAATAAACGACTATGATTGCAATATTTTGTGGTCAAGTGTGAAGTAAAGGAGAAAACATCAAATAAAAATGTGGAGATTCTATTAAATATTGTAAATATTGTCTTATATATTTAAATTTAGCTTTCATTAATGCTCATTTACTGAGATTAAGACTTCAGGTTTCGACTTTCCTCTTTTCTTATTCTCTCTCATGTATCACAAATGTTATTATTTTTTATAGGAATCTGTCGAATCATTAAATCATAGGTACCGTTTTCTTTGATAGCAAAATTGACATCCTCTACGTGTAAGCGATACAATAAACTCCCATTCAAACCCTCATCCGGATCTGTTGCAATCACTTTTTCAAATATTTCACCAACATCGATGTTATTAGTAAGCGTAAAAGAATTCGCAGTAGGACATGACGGTGAATTATCGTTTATATCCAAAATTTTGATATGAACGACTGCTTGAGATGAGAGTTCTGGCTGGAAACACTTCCAGTTACACACATATTTTTTCTTGTTGATACTTCTTTTGATTGATATTTTTCTTTTGATACTTCTTTTGACTGAGTAAAAAATTTTTTAAATATCCTTGGTATCTTGATTAATAATTGCTTTTAATACTTGAAACTGCAAATAGACATCTTCAGAAATATAGAAATGAGTTAATAAGCTTCTGTCATCTTCGCAGATAAACTACTTATACTGTTAGACATGAAAAGTACAAAATTTCACCTTTCCGTAATCTCTAGCAATGATTAGTAAGCGATATTCGGCAATCATTTCACGATCAAGTGTTGCTTTCACGAAAATATTTCCTTTTACAGGATGGATGTCAAAATTACGATTTTCTTTACTTAACCGATAAGAAATCCTAGCATTCTGTTCGCTATCCAAATCTTCCGCTTGAATTGTCAGGATGTCCGTCATAAGTTGAACATCTTCCGGTACCTGAATTTTCCATTGATTTCTGACTAAAAGTGATTTATTTGAGATTTATATTTAAAGATATTTGAGATTTCGATTATGTGGTCAAAAGTCGATATCTTTCACAATCTCTAGCTTAGTCCAGCAAAATAATCAACGTACTTCAACGGAATACATCTCTTTCTTGAATTCAGGTCTATTATCGTTAATATCGAGGACATTAAGCACTACAGAGATGTTAGAAGTAAGCGGTGGTATCCCTTGATCCCGTGCTTGTATCACCAAATAATACTTATTGATCGTTTCAAAGTCCAAATTAGCCATCAGTGTTAGTTCACCACTTAACGGCATAACCAAAACTGGACATGGCGGCTCATTTTGTAACAGAGTATATATCACCTCGCCGTTCTGAATCACTCTTTAATTACTTACTAAATTCTGCAATTAAAACAAGTATCGAAATTTAAAGAAAAAAGTTCAAAAATAGTTGTTATTCTGATACACACTATTTCCGAAGAGTAATAACCTTCCCACGATCCTTATCATAAGCTTGTATAGCAAAGAATGGCTGATGTATCGGATGATTTTCGTAAATATACGATTCTACTTTGTCCATTTCAAAGACTGGAGCGTTATCATTGGTATCAGTTAATTTGATAAGTACTTGCGTATAATTTACTCCACCACCGTCCATCCGTGCCTACAAAACAAGGTATTCATACCTCATCATAAATATGTTAATAATATATGGAATTTAGGCTAATGACTACCTGTATATTAAGTAATAGCTGTTCCCATTTGTCAACATCCAAATATTGAGCAACGTTAATTTCACCATTTTTAGCATCAATGGCAAAGAAATAATCTGAATCTCCGGAATACACACTGTAGTTTATTGGAAGTGACCCCTCAGCTTTAACCTGAAACCATTAGTATATATAAGTTGTGCAACTTGCAAAGGAAAATTAAGTAACAACAGAAAACTTAAAAAGTGTCGAGAATCAATAATAGTGAAATTTTCTATTTATTACTATTCTCAGTCATTTAAGCATAGCAATACTTACTTCTCCAATTACAGTGCCTGGAAGTGTTTCTTCCAATACGCTAATTTGGTATAATGTACTTGTAAATTGTGGAGTTGGTGTAAGATTACTGATAACAGTAATATAGACGACAGCCTAAAATTTAGAATTAATTAAATTAACCTAAGAACAAAAAATATGGTGATTTCTTTACAACTTACTAAACAATAAATTAAGATAGATATTGATAAGTCACTACTACTCTTCCCGATGACATCACGAAAATTGCAAAGTATACCTGCTTCTCGCTAACCATTCCACCTCCATCAACAGCTTCCACTCTCAAATTATAATCTTTCGATAGGTTTTTTTTTACATATAAATAACCTGATTTTGCATCCAATCGGAAAGCGTCCGATTCTTTGGTCACAAACCGATAAAGTATCTTAAAATAGTAAAATCCGGAAATGACGGCTAAGAATGAATATCAAACGAATCTCTTTTGATTCTTTCAACTGGATTTTTTATCTATCACGATCATATGTTCATGATGAAAGCCTAAAGAAAAAGCACTTATTATCTTAGCAAGCCCAACAAGATCTTAGATGAAAAAATATCTGATTCCACAAATAATATTTGCACACCTCTCCATAAGTCCCGCTATCGGCGTCATTCGCTGAAAGTAATACCAGTGAACTACCAATTTCTACGTCTTCTCGTACCGATACGTTATATTGTTCCGGATAAAATACAGGTGCATTATCGTTCACATCTTCTACATGAATGTTTACCAATGCTTGACTTGATCGACCATCTGAAAGATAGCAATAATTTCAGCAAGGTAAAGCTTCTCAGAGCATTTCTGAGATATCCCCTTATCATATTCTTTTCTACTTAAGATTTCGCACCGATGTTCCCATTTTCCATAAATTTAATGAAATAAGCAAATTAATTAATAAATCAATTCTTTTTTTGTGGATAGCTATAAGATATCTTAGAGTGAAGCATTGACAGCAACATCGAGAAATAAGCAAATTCAACAAAATTAAATAATACTCACTCATACACGTATAAGTATGTGCCTGTGTGTGTGTGTGTGTGTGTGTGTGTGTGTATCTGTGTATAATAAAAAAATATAAGAAAACTTTCGTGACAAAGATTAGTGTGTAAATTGCTTTGTCTGAGCATTTTTAAAACCTTCTGCATCCATAATTGATTAGATGTCATCTTTGGAAATATAGAATTTCTATTGTATCAATGAATTGATATACTTGAAATGAATTGCAAACGTAAGCTGCACGATACATAGGCTATAATTTAAGAGGAATTTGAAAGAACTAACTTATGTGATAAGCATAAACATAAAATTGATAAATAGTGCGTTGCTCATAGTCGAGAATGGAATTGAGACAGATCCTTCCGGATTGGGTGTTAATCCGGAATGGTTCTTTCACTGAATTGGTTTTCGATAAACTGTAACTTACGTTACTTTCATTGCCACAACCATTCTTTGCAGTTACCTAAACATTTACATTTAAACTGTTTGAAATAACAATTGGAATGAGTTTTTAAATTGTGATTCCTTCTATCTTACTTCATCCAATAATTCACACTCTTCCCTTTATCGCCATGGAAACGTTATAAAATAGTTACGGCATTTCTCTCTCTTCAATTACTCTGATTTCGATCGCGATGATCTCTGTCTGTATGGTCTGTACAATTGGTTGGGAAGCATAGAGACGTTGAGTCGTATAGTACAATTATCGCTTATCGCTTTATTAACAAATATGGAAACACTAAGTTAATTAATTTAGCGGCAGAAAGTTAGAAAGGATGTCACTGAAATGTATGCCTCTGTTATTCCTTAATATGGGCAGTGAAATGGTTTATATTTTGCAGCAACGCCTAAAGGTATTTTGTTTCTTTCGTAATTTCATATTATATTTCTGAAATGGGAAACAAGAAAATTTTGGGAATAGAAGGAAGGAAATTAAACTAATCAAATTAAATCTTGTGAAATCTAATTTTTAATCAAGAGAAAATTAAAATTGAAAGAATCAAAAACTTTGAAGCTTAAATTTCAAGTATGGAAAGTATCATTTTTAGGCTCAAAAAATAGGCAAAGAGAAGACAACACAAGTACTACGGGACATTTTGCATATCCTTTTCAATACCAAGTTTTTGAAGGAGTTATTTGAGCCACAACATATTTGTAGCAAACAGATTATACGAATTTTTTTCGAGAAGCTTGTCCATTCCAGCATTATGAGACTTAACAAAACGAGGTATGTTTCCTGCCTACTACTTCAAAATCTTACTTCTCTTACCTTATCAATCAAAGTTATTACAATTAAAACAAAGCCACTTCACTGATCAATGTATAATTTGACCTGTGCCTCAGTCCTAATTTCATTTTTTATATCCGTCCATTATTTTATATGCATTATGCGGTTTATCTTAAGTATTCTTTTTAGCATGGACAAGCTGTACGCATTAATGACGATGACTTATAAATATCAACTTCAACTTTGCAATGGATCTGAAAATATCGCTTTTATTACGCTTAATCATTTAGACTGTATCCGTGAAATTCTACCTGAAGATGAAAAGTTGAGTCAATTTTTGGACGTGGCTCATCGAATGGTTATTCTCATTTTTCAACATTGAAATTTGATTGGTAGTTTTTATTGCAAGAATACTAATTAAGGATTTAAAATAAAATAAAAATGTCGTTTTCTCTTTTTTAAAGTATTTTTAAAGATTACTTTAGCACCGGTGATTTAACAAAGTGACCCATTCTACAATTATATGATATTTAATTTAATTATATTTTCATTCAAATATGTTGCTGAATCATTTCATAATTTTAGGTTATTATGACGTATTACGAAATTCCTCTCTGGGAGCAAGCAATGATTCGAAGCTGTTTGTTGAACTTCTTTCAGGTCAAATGAAAATTTAGTTTTCAGACATTTCAGACGACACATCAGTTATTAAAATTGTATTACTACGGCCTATGATCTGAGTTTAAATTACAAGTTGGTCTAATATTGTGGAGTGCACAGGTGGATTTCTTATCCTGGTGTAAAGAAGTTTGGAGAATAAAACTGAATAAATGAATTAAACTTATTTTGAGGATTCACGAGTGAATATATCATTATTTTTACGTGAAAACAAGCAAACAGAGGAAGGTCGATTTATTCTCTTCCCCGAAACAAACTCTCAATTACTTTACAATGGAAGTCCTCCTGGTAAAATACGATATTTCGATAGTGATGGAGAAGTACGCTCAGAATCGTTCCCCTCCGACGATAATGCAACTATGCACAAGCCATGTCTCTCCAAAGTAACCATTCATTGATCTTCTCTAAACTTAGGAGAAAGTGAATGATTAGCCTTAAGAAAGAAAGATCACCATTACAACATATTCCAAAGATTTCAGCCAATTTATAAAGGCTCTATGGATCTGACATAGACATTCTGTGTTTATGTTCTGCCAAATTCTTAAATGATTGATTGCCAGGAAAAAATACAAGAAATATGAATGTTTTAGTTTGTTTCATGTTTATCAGTGATTTCAGGGGAGTATTGAATTAAATGCGAATGACAGAGGTACGACATTGGGTACTAACATGTTTCTATCACCAGAAAGCCTGCAGGTTCTTTTCTATGTTCTCAAGATTATTGAAAATTTAAATTTGAAATGACGAACACGCTCGAAACAATTTTCCATCGATCGACAATCGTAAACATTGTAACATAAATATGTCGCTTATGTATTTTGCACAGTTAATGATATAGTAATAGAATATGAAAGATGTTGGTAAATTTGAATTTTACTCAAATAAATTTGTTTCTTTTTTCTGAATTATCTTTGAATTTCAGGTAAAAAGTAGTGGGACAGCAATGAGATCAGAAGACGTATTGCCAGATGATGAGTTACGACTATTATCAGCACTAATTATCAGTCCTGGACAAGATCAGCAGAAAGGTTCCTTGTAGTAAATTTTCAGAAATTCAGCCAAAATAATCAAATTTATTGATGGATTGCATAAATGAGAAAGTTGTTTCGAAAATGATTGTATTTCTGGAATCTAAAGAGACTATTTTTTACCGAATTTTTTTAATGAAATGTTGAAACTTTAGGATTTGATCTGAATCTATTTACTGACGATGCAGAAGAAAAAACATTACTACAGGAGCGTGATAAAGCACTGGCAACAGTTACTCACATCGATGCTAGAAAGCATCGCAAAACGATCATCGCTATGCTTTCTGACGTAAAGTTTTTAACACATTTTAAAAATTTGAGTTGAAAAAAATTGTTCTCTAGAAGAAAATTATTTTTTTAGGATATATTTTTAATCCTTTTTCATATTATTTCAGTTAACAAGTCCATCCTCCGTGGTCATTTGACACAATCTGTCTTCTGAGCATTATGCCAGTCAGTCAATCCATTCTTAGCAAAATTGTTCTCTAAAGGAAATTTATTGAGAATACCGGTGAAAGCTATTTGGTTGTTACTGAGAAGTCCAATGTCAACAGATGTCATCAATCTCCTGAACAAAATAAATGAGATCTTCCACTCATGCTAATTAATAGTTATTAGGATAAACAAATCATTTATTGTTTACACATCCTCTAGCAACAATCATTAAATTTTAATAAAAGAAAAAAGTTTTTCTCTTAAATTTAATAGAAGAGTGAGAATGTCATTGTGATATAATTGAAAGTTAGTTTTATCTTCCAGTTACACATGGCTTTTATTGTAAAGCTATTTCTTACAAAAAATAAAGTTGTAGTTGAAACATGCGATGAGAGTTAAAATTTTCCTCACTTAATTAATTCAAGCCATTTCGATTAAACACAATCTCCCGACAATGGACACCTAAAACCAATTGATTTAAGTAAGACATAAAAAGAAAAATCAATTTCCAAAGGGTTATAATTAATAGAGTTTCTTTATTTAGTCCATAAAATGGAGAAATCCATAAATGATTTGATGAAAAGAAGTAACTGATATGAGATGATGGCTGCAAATTCATGTCAGATTTCAATTTTTGTTTTTTCTGTGGTCAACTTTGGCTGCAATTAATTTTCTGTGGTTGTCTATGGTACTCTCATAGCTACAAACTTATTATGTATCATCTTATCAAGTCGTTTAAATCAGAGAGACCTTGCTTGTTGCTACTTTTCAGATTGAAACATATACTTACAAATTTAAACAGTTCTAATTGATATGAACAATTCTCATAAGAACATATGTCCGCATACATTTCTGTCCTATCTTTCATTTTCACTTTCTCATCAAGCTCATAAAGCTCTTTCATATTTTCCGATATTTTATCTGAGAATAGAATTGAAACTGATCTACGTAGCAGATGACTTATTCTAGGGAAGGAATGGAACTAATCTCTCACGAGCAGTATAAAAAAGAAGTTGCCGCACACTGAATATCTGAATGGGTCATTTCCCAGAAGTTACATCTTTTATTACCTGTTCCTTCATCCCTCGAAATAGTTGCTCAGATGAAAGATTACTAGGAGTGAGTAGTGATGCAGTTCCATTATCAAATTATTTGACGGTGATGGCGGTGTTGACGATGCTACCGAGTGTTATTGCTCCTTGTCAAGGACGCATTAACTATCCCATCGTAAACAGTAACAACAATAATAGGAGCAATTCTATCTGAACTGTTAACATTTACGCCATAATTCTTTTCATATTTCAAAATAACGTACAATCACTTTCAATCCACAAAGATCATTCTCTTCCGTAAGAGAAGATTTAAAGTTTCCTTACAATCATTTTCGGTCACTTGATGACCTATGACTCCCTCTCTACATCTAATACGATACTTATCATGCTCTAGATTGTGGAAACACGCAATCAATCTACCGTTAATAAAACTAAGCAACTTTTCATTTTTATCTTATACTCTTTAATTTTTGTTTGGAAATTTAAAAATATGTGTTCTTAAATTAAACCATTAGAAATTTGGTAGGCACTTTCGATTTTATTATTATTTTGTCATTTGAAAACTTGAAAAACAAATTTTAAATTTCAAATGTCCTAAAATATCAGTTCCAATCTCACGGTTATTTCATTATTTACATTACTGTAAATTAATTTAAATTTTAATATCAAAAATGGTTTCTGAAAAATTTAAAACTTTCAGTTAAAGTTGGAAGCACCATCACGACAGTCGAGAAAAGGAGAAGATATGTTAAATTTATTGGATGAAGCAGTAAATCATCCCGATTTGTCAACTAGAAATTCTATAAAGCGAAGTATGTCATCAACGAGAAAACAAGCACAATATGAGTAGTTCTCATCTAAACAACGTTTTATGCTATATTAGACGTAGTTAGACAAAGTTAAAACTTTAAGACTGAAAAAAGTTAATTGCAAACTGTGTCGTATGTAAAAAACACATCAATATAATGATTATTAAACGTATTTATAACTTTAAATTACCATCAAATCGCTGTTAATTAAACTTCCATCTTTTCCATCTCTCATATTCGCTAACAAATTTGACGTATATGAGATATGAAAGAATATGTAAAATTTAGATTTCCTAAAAAACATTCCATGATGAGTTATATTGTTTGTTAAGACAACTTTTAAACACCATCCCTACCTATGCTGTAATAAGCAATGTTAATTTAGTAATTGTATATTTCAAGCTTGGTTTCATGATTGAAGGTTAAAGCTAAAATCATATCTGAAGCTTTAATTATTCAAAATTAAATTTCTAATCCAGTTGGCTAAATGCATTGAAGCGGAAATTCATTAGCGTGATATCAGTCCATTCTCACTGAATCACTAATAATAAATCATTAAAGGTACTCCCATGTAGACCTGTTGTAATCTTCTCCTTTCCTAAAATGAAAATTTTTAGTATTAATTGAAAGAGTATGATTTTAGTAAGTTTCTTTGTCAAGTTTTAAAATAAGAATATTTATGCCACACGAAGAAAACAAAGAGAAATTTGCAATTTCGGATGAAACACACAAAATGTCTGACTCATTTCTCTTCTAATTATCATTACTATTAGAATTATTTTGAAACTTTCTGGAAAAAAACTCCTTAATTTGCTTTAATAAATCGTCCTAATTTTCACATCGCTGATAATTCTCTTCAAAGTATTATCTCCCCCTTCTGGCCATCTCTTAATTGCTATTACTATATTGATCAAATTTTCAATCGAACTTTGATGGTGAAGTTATTCTTCTTCTTTACATGTCCTCCTATTATTGACTATCTATCTGAAGGACAAAACACTTAAGAAATGACTACATCACTGGAGATTATTTAAATATTGTGTAAGTGCGTATGGTCGAATAATTTGAATAATTAATTTATGAATTTTGTCAAAATTTTACAAACCTAACATAAAATTTGAGACCTTGAAGAGAACATAATTCCATTGTCCTGCAAACATATTAAGAAAAATTATAAGGATAAGGTAATGATATTGATGAATGGTAGGTAAGAAAAGTGTGAACCTCTGTTTAGGACAGTGACCTTAACAATATTCTCTAGTCATTTATCGTTCCCCCAGGTGTCACTCCGAATGCTTCAGTCACCAAAGAGTAATACTTGCACGCGAAATCCTTCACTTCATCTTGTCACACAACCGATATTTTGTTTTCCTTTTCAGTAAACATCCCGTGGGAATTATTGAAAATAAAATAAGTGACCATCAGATGATCACATCCCTTTCTCTTTTTTCAGTCTTTCGCTTCAAACATTGTATTATATGGCCAAAGAATGATAGCTGATAACAGTATAAAAATTATGAGATTAGTTTGAAAAAGCAAATATTTGAACCTTATTGGTGCCACAGAAGATGGAATAGGAATAGAAATGTCAACAATCTGTCAAATACATAAACAGAAGACCATCAACTGACCAGTTAATTCTCCTAATCAATTATTACTTGAATACCTTTCCATAAATTCATTCATAAATTTCTATGTAAACAGCTAAAAAATTGAGCTATGACTTAGAGTATCAGATGAAAGACTGAACAGTTTAAGAGCTCTAAAGAATTATGCATACATCTGAAATGAGAGCTTATGAATCCGGCAGTGTCCCATCTTCAACACAAACATTTTGTGAATTTCAGTAATACTGTTAAGAAATAGTTATAACATTCAAACACGAAGATGAAGTTTGATTTTTAAGAAAATTAAACCAATTACTTAATTTATTCTCTTTTTCAACTACCTATATTTCCTGTCTTAACCTCTAGTATCGTACACTATTTTTCCCTTCATTCTGTTTAGTGACATTAAATATTAACTGATTATAGGATACCGTAAACTTGCTGAGATATTATGAAGCAAAAAAGTTCCAACATTCGTATCACATTCCGAATATTTGAAAGTTGCATTATTATAAATTATTCAATTTCCAAATAATTTATTATTAAAACTGTTATTATTAAAACTTTCTATTCAATAAAATGTTGGGTTAATTAAAAAATCTTTTTAAGATAGAAGGAGCACATAGTAGAAGGCACTCTATTAATGTTACATGCTTATCAGTGAGAATGTTAAACGCTTATCAGTTGAACATAACAAATTCCATAAATTTGGTATTAAGCATTTGAATTGAGGCGTTCCTTCACTAATGCCCCACTCATTAATGCAATAAATTGGCCTCTTCTTTAACAGCAAACTGTTTGTTATTTTGCATAGTTTTCTTTTACCAATGTTAAGCAAACCAATCTAATTTTGATGAATGAGAAATGATCTCTGACCTTGAGAAGGCAACTGTCCAATTCCGCGTCCTCCTTAACGATCACATGATATAATGGCTTTGTAAAAAGAGGAGGCCGATCGTTGCTATCAATGATTTGAGCAATAACATCAACTGTTGAGGATTGTGGCGGAGTGCCGAAATCTTCGGCACGGACATGAAAACGATGCTCTTCAAGTGAACAGTCAAACTGAAACATTCAATTTTTGTGAGCTTTTCTATTAATGCAAAAAATTTGTAAAAATTGAGAAGCGAATTTTAAAAACATCAAAATTTGTTGAAGTAAGAAGCAAGGTAAAGTGCTAATGCAAAGAAAGGAATGTTTGCAAATTTTGAAGGAGGAAAAGAACAAACTTTTTCGTAGACATTCAGGATACCGGTGTCGGATTCAATTTCGAATAGATTAGTACCCAAAAGAGTATAATGTATCCTACCATTTTCACCACTGTCCGGATCTGATGCTTGAATTCGCACTAATTTATAATGCGTTGTAGATCGATTAAATATTACATGGAATAGTGATTTTTCGAATTTGGGTGCATTATCGTTGATATCAAGTACCTGAACATTGTTTAAAAGAAGTCAAATCTGGAAAATCCTATGCAATGCTATGCATTATGCTAACTTTATTGAGCTTGAAGTTTATTAATTTTGTAAAAAATACCGGAAATTTACCTCAAAAAACACTGGGATCTCTAGCAATTGTTTTTCCCCAGACGCTATGGTAAGAAATAAATTGTATTCAGATTTTTGTTCGCGATCAAAGGATCCGCAGACAAGTAATAAGTAAACACCCGACGAATCAGTTTCTTTGATGCATAGCGCATCGCATCCGCTTACCGATAATTCACTGTAATTTTGAAATTAATCCGCTGAAAACTGTCCTGAGCAAATACTTGGTCGTTATTAAGATTCTGATTTAGGAAAGCAGTAATTTCCACTACCCTTAAAGTTCAACTTTTTCAAATCAAAGTTTTTATAAGACGTAAAACAAAGTAATGAACGAACCTTTCTTGTGGTGCATTTTGCACAGCGATCCGAGCAATAACGTGTCCTATTGTAACATTTTCATAAACTTCTGGTTTATTGCTATCAGTAAGCCAAAAGATATCAAAAAGAAGTTTTGGCTGATTACTCTTCTGAACCGTAATAGTTAAAATACTTGTAGATTCAAGAGGTTGAGGTACTCCGTGATCACTGGCCACAATTAGAAGCTGATAAACTGAACCAGAAACGAGAAGTTTCGGATCGCTTACATGTACTACGCCATTTTCACTATCAATTTGAAATGGGATCTTCAGATCAGCACGACTCTATAAATTCACGATTAATGAGATCTTGTGGAATGTTGATATTATTTTCTCTGAGAAATGATCAAACGAAAAGTGGACAGAATTTGGAAAAAAGAGTTACCGACCGACCTTTGCAATGGAATAAGCAACTCGAGCATTTTCTCCTAGGTCAGGATCTACAGCATGAATTGTTGCAACCACGTAACCCGCCGATATATTCCACGGAATAGAAGCATTGTATCCATTTTGGCTAAACTCTGGCGCATTATCGTTCGCATCCAGAACTGTCACGTTCACGAGCATTTTACCACTACTAAAATATTATCGGGTAACGGTTGTTAACAGCTGAGCTAGTCATTTATTTGCATGTTAGTGAATGAACAGTTTCATTTGACCATCACTTCACCCAAGCTATCTTGAGTTTTCATGAATTCTTCTGAATTCTATATTCTAACTTCTCATTATGTCTAGAGAAAACACAATCTTCCCTTCTCGAATAACTCAAAAAAGAATTGTTCTTTTCTTTCTTTTCTGTTTCTTAACGAATTTTAATTGCTTTGTTATTTCCACTACTTCCATCTCTTTTTCTTTAATTATTTTTCTTTTCCATCTATTTTCTGAGGTTCCTTTGCCTTGACAATGTGTTTAATCAAAGCTTATCAACGACCTAACAAACTGATCTTTTGTGATATGTGAACATTGCGAGGGAAGAATAAAATATAAATGATATCAAATAATGATAAATTTTAACAGCAAAATTTTTCACAGAACAATTTATTCTTCTAATAACATAATTATGTTTAACTATTGTAATTTTATATATTAGCCTAGATGGTTATGCAAATTTCCTTAATTTGCATGGATTTTTCAGTACGTCAGCAAATGATACTTTGGTGGGTTGCCTCCATCTAAAGCTTCAATGAGAAGCTCATATTGGCTGCGATATTCTCGATCCAGCTGTCCATTTACAACCAAGTCAACATATAGTATTGAATTGATTCGTTTACTTGATAATCTTCAATTAAAAGTAATTATAAAATGCTACGACCGAAAAGAAAGTGTGAACGTTTGATTATAAAACATTATAGAATAATTTCGTAGACAAAAAGAAAAATCCTTTGCTAGTCGACCTGAACTTTTTAATTTTCACTTTCTAACTTTCATATTTCATTACTTTTTTTTAACAGAATGGAATTCAAAGTAAATTATTTAGACATACTTGAATGCATTGTTAACATTTCCGGATATGATATGATACCTGATCACTGATAGTGGAAGAGAATCGTTATCTATTGCTGGTGGTAACGAAATTTCCGAATTTAAAGCAGCAAATTCGGAAATGGCTACCTGAAAGCTTTTATTTGCTGATTACTTATATTATCAAATTTAAATCAATGCGAACAAGTTTAACTCCACAGGTAGCCTTCTAAGAGAACTTTATAAAATAAATTTAAATACGCAAAATTCATATACAATGATATCTTTTGAATTAATTTCATTCATTGTTTAGCGAATTTGGTAATTCAAAAATACATCAAAAGTTTCCTTTCCCATAACTTGATAGTGGTATAATGCTTTGTCTTGTTCACAACAAATGAGTTTCATTGGGGTAGAAAATATCCAACCGCGACAATCACTCCTTCCGAGAATATAATGTCACCACCACCTGTCAATCTTCCACCTTTTATTGTTCATTGTGGGAATGGATGTTTGGTTGCACTATGTTCAATTTTTTGTTTAAATTCGGAATTTTCCACTGCGGAAATGAGAATAATGAGAGAGAAGATGATAAAAATATTATTGCTATTAAAACTATTCCTTTGCTCATTGAATTATCAACTTGAAACCATCAAATTAATAAACAGTTACCTGTTTAAGTAAGAAATCAGAACGTCTATAAGCTACACTATAACTCAATTATGTCAGAAACTTATTTATTTTATCACTTAATTTTAAAATACTGGAATTAAACGAATTACATCAAATCAAGCGTGTAGGAAATTAGCGGAATTTTAAATTTTAAAATAATAAAAGGAAATAAATGTTGATATTTATCAAGCAGAAGTGAATAATGTCATAAAAACTTACAAATGAGTTAGCATAGCAATTTTATGAACTTATTTTGTTTTTCGCAGCTAAACTTTATTTTTCAGGATCTGATTATTGAACTTTTGATTCATCGAACTTTTGATTTAATGCACTGTGGAACAAGACAAGTTGCCATATTTCAAAGATTACTGGCGGCTACTAAAAGCTTTTTTTCGGGTTCCTCTCCAGATATTAAATGAGGTCAAACACATATTCATCTTCGGGAAAGGGAATGAAGGAAGTGATACAATCACTAATTTAAAAGGAAAATTTTTTGGGAGCAATTAATTCCGGATGAACCGTGCCTCTCTCTCTCTCTCTCTCTCTCTCTCTTTCTCTCCTTATATATTCATTTTTGCTATTATGAAAAAATGCGGAATATTAGATTTTTGTAAGGAAAAATTCCTGAATTAAAAAAAATCTGATAAAAAACATAAAAATTTACAGTTATTAGCTTTTTGTACAGTTCCATCACAATGATTTATTTAACTGTTATAATTAGCAAATGAATAGTTTATAATGTGATGAAAGTTTGCAATCGAGCAATATTGTGATTTACATATTAATCAAATTATTTAAATGATTTTTTTTGCTGAAAGAGCCTATTATCAAATTATTAAATAATAACGCTATTTTTTAGGGAAGAATTTGTTTACTTGCAAAGTTGTTTACAATTTTGTTTAGAATTAGTGCAGAATAAACTAGCTATTAATGATAAAGAAGATGGAACAATGGTTGAACAAATTATATCACAAACGCATTTGTATAATACAACTGTAAATGAAGTATAAGCGAACTTACGTTGATGGAAGAAGCAGGAAATGTCGGCGTATTATCATTCTCATCGATAATATTTACTATTGCGTGAATTGTTTCCCCATGTGAACGGTTTTCTATTGGTACGGCGATTAAGTGGTATGAAGTGCGATGTTCATAATCTAGCTCATGCAAGACTCGTATCCTACCACTTACTTCTTCCACTCCCAAGTACTATAATTGAAGAAAAATACTTATGTCCAGTTTAGTTCATACCAATTTCACTCTTTCGATGAAATTATTTGAAAATTTGTAAGCAATTCAAACATAAAAATCAATAAAGCGTCGTACATCTAAATCATAGCTATCCCTTGCTTTCATAATATTCAAAAAGAAATTTCTTTGGTCAAAAAGTACATTCTTAAAATGATGTTCAATTTGCCGGATTCAATTTATCTTTTGATTCCAATCCTTCTAACAAAAAATAAGGAGGATTGCTTTTCGATTTTTTCTTTAAATCTTGAAAGTTTTAAAATTTTTTAAAGATTTGATGATAGTTTGAAATTTTCACACTAATAAAATTGAAAACTAAGATGGACATCACCCCTATCATTGAAGCGCCTTAATTACCGTGGCATTGGTAGCATATTTTTGGACACAGCATTAATTGGTTATCACTGAAATATCCCATAGTCGTGATACTACCGAGGAGAGGACATCCTTTCAATTTATTTAAATTGCTCTATATGATAAATTGAAATTGTTCAAAGTTAGGAAGAGAAAATGATAGATTAAAATATGTGCTAACTGAATTCAAAAATTGAAATAGAAAAAAATAAACAGAAAAATACCTTTTAATAATATCTTGATAATTTCATGTATTAAAAATTTAAAGCAAAATAAAGGAGGTTACGATTTTGTCACCATAAAATTCAAAGATAACCTACTTTAGTAAATGTATTGCTGTAAAAAATACTCTTAATAACTTACTTTTTCGGTTTCTCCAGTATTATCCGGATAAACAATGTAAAAATTTGTTTTAGCACCACTGGATGGAGTTCCGTTAAAATATCCAACTATATATCCAACCGGTGCTTGTTCAGAAACATTGAAAATTCTTTGCTGCTCACATTCAGTACTTCTCAATACAGTAATTATTATCAGTATAAACATTCGGATAATAGAAATAAAAAGAATTACTGTAATAATATAGTAATGAATAGTTTTAATATATGAGTTAGACTGGAGGTCATCGACAGGGTCATCACATCACAGTCGTCGATCTGAAATGCAACCATCATCAGTAGATGATAATCATCAGCGAGATACCACTCCTGTCCATATAACATCCGTATATTACATCGGCATTAGTGCTTTGATGATTATTTTAAGGCCATTTTCAGACTATTAAAAAGACATTTAAATAAATGAATCTTTTTTCAAACGATCATTCAAGTACTTAATACTTAACAAATGAACAGATAATCTGAGCTTTTCATACATTTCCAGAATACATGTTTAGCAATCCTAATAACATTTTGAATCAGTCGTGAAAACAGTTGTTTCAGTTACCCAATGGACATAAATTGAAATTAAAGGAGAACTGCATAAATCATCTCACGTAACTCTCATGTAAATCATCCCTTGCTGTTATTAATAATTCTTAGCAATCCAAATTTCTTTCTCTTATTGGATTTAAATAGCGCCACTTTTACCGAACACTATTCAAGGAAGGACCTTTCGATGAAAAGATGAGAAAGGTAAACAACGGCGGTATCAATTGAATTAGTTTGATAAATAATGATAGGGTATCAAAACGCAGGTAGTGAATTTTGTATTTGTTGAAAACAGGTTTGACGAAAGGCACCATTTCCACATGAAGTGTTCGTCCATAATATGTGCGGGACGTTAAATACTTCGAGATGTACCAATACAATGCGATAACTTCCGGGATTTGCCAATGTGATTAGATTTTCCTTCAAAGATGCAATTAATTTTTGTTTTAGCTTTGCCAGTCTCAATAAACTTAAAAATGAAATAAAAACGAAATGATAGCAGAAAATCTAAACCAGAAAATGTTTCACAAACGAGTCAGAAATATAATTGGAAGAGAAATAGACAAAAATAGCTTTTTAAATAACGAACAGTTTGAAACACTATTCGAAATTAAAAATCAGTTTGAAACAATGCCATATTAAGTCCTTAAGTTAATGTCACCCTTTCCGATCGCTTTGTCCACTGGAAAATGTGCCAGATTATGGTAAAATGGGCTGGCAATAACTATTCCAGATGCTATTTAAGGACTAAAAGCAATATTTCTGTAGTGACAAATGAAATTCTGAGTTTAATTTCACTAAACGAAGGTTTTATTGGATTAGTGAAAAATGGGTTGCTCAAATTTTCTGAGTGTAAATGTTTAATCTATTTCGTTTTCGAAAAGAATGATCTTTTATAGTTTACTGAGCACCCATTTCCCATCGAAGGAAGGGGAGCTCAAAAGAATATTTTGGAGAGGGTCAATCAATGGATATTTGAGCTTCATTAATTTGAAAGGGATTTGAAAGGAGATATCATTCATTATTGCTTTCAAGGGTCATGCATTGAACGGATCAGTTTGAAATGAGAAAGATGAAAAATGATATATTGGAGAGTTTATGGTAAGAAAGAATAAATTAATTAATTATAGTGAAAATGGTTAAGTTGAGCGGGAACGATTGGGAATGACTAAGTTCTGAAGGGCAGCTTTTGTTGGAAGGAAAAAATATTAATATTTAGCAAACTATAAGCTTTATCATTTGGTTGCCAAATAATTTAAAAGAAAACAGTCAGTTATTATCATTATTGAAAGTAATTATAATTACTATTATTATATATCATTGCTCATAATAATGTCACAAATGCAGAAATCGAAAATTATTCCTTCTCTAATTTCTTTTTAAGTTCATCAGAGATTCTAGTTCAGTACAAGTTCAAATTTCATTTTTCTGATACAAAATGCATATCAGAGTTGGTAATCAATAAATTTGGATCGGTAATGTTGAGTGTAAAAACTTAATTTATCATTAATTTCAAGTTAACTTAAGTATCAAACGGTAGTGTAAGTAGTACAGTAACAAGCATTGAAAATAGAAAACCAAGTACGAAGTGATGGAAATAAAACAGCATGCAGAAAAAGAGTGTAATAAAACAGATAACAATAAGAATGTATACTTTGCATCATTATTGTCTAAAAGTGGACAAGAACGCCAAGCGGATAACGCCATATTTTTATTAAAAAAATGATGGCTTAAACTGATGAAAATTATTTTAAAAAATTATGCGTAAGATAAAAGAATTTCGAGGGTTTTTCAAAAAAAGAGAAAAAATTTCAGAAGAAGTATCGGTACTCAGTAAAATTAAGTGAATTTCAAGTGGCTACAATGGATGTGCACCATCGACCAATTTATCGGTTTATAATATTAAGTGAATTGCGGCAGCGAGTGTTGTACGGGGTGGATCCAGAGCTCTCCGTTATATTTCTTGTAGTTTTCTTGAATTGGTGAGGAGGAGGATGAAGGAAGAAGAAAGAAGAAAGGGACAGCAATGGGTGGCGTTAAAAGGATGGATTTGGAAGGAAGGACACCGCCTCCATAAAACGGCCGTTTTGGTTCGATTCGATGCGACAAATTTACCAGTTACGGCACTATTACCGTTAGTAATTCACTTGTCCTTGGTATTTGAATAACAAGAAATAATAAATCTCAAAAATTTTCTTCGGCTCTATCCTAAATGTCAAAACTGTGCTATCGCTTGACTCTCAATCCATTCCGCAGTAACATGACAATGTGACCAAAGAAACTCGTCTGTCCACTCAAGTAATTATATATGCTAATCCTGTTATAGTTCTCACAGCTAAGTTTCTTGCATTATTGGTAAACAAAGAAGCGGAGAGAGAGACGATGGATCACTTGAGATTTTCAACAAATACGAATCCTATTCCGCAGATGGCCAGAAGCGTCTTTCAGATATGTACCAATACATACAAATAAAGGCAATGCTAATCTCTGAAAAATACGCTTATCGAAATATCAAATGTCAATGTTTGTATGCTTTTCAATCGTGATGCGGGAAATTCGATCAATATGGAAATTTGAACGCTTAGAAAGGCACCAGAGAAAGAAGTTGGGGAAAAACAAAGTATTCCAAAATGAACTTACTTGAACAGAACAACTGTAAAGAAAGAAATGAGAACAAGTCATGTTAACTTATGTGATAAGTGTATATGATTAGAATTGAATATGAGAAGTAAGGTAACTTAAAATGGGATGGAATGCTGAAAGAATGATATCTGTAAAAAAATGACACAAAATCGAAATATGATAACATTTTTGCGATCAAATTCTATCTGAAGCATAACAATTAATCACTTTGAAGCGTTGATATGATAACTAGTTTACGGGAAGTTCTTCCTTCTTCATATCAACTGGCCGGAACAAAGAGAATAGAAGTTGCCGTCTGAAATGAGCTTAGAAAGCTTCTTGAATACTCCATCTTTCTCACCATTTCAAATCTATTTCTAATGATTAAATATTAGTTTCTGTTAGATGGCACTTAACAAGCATCAAACTGCTTGCGAATTTTTCCGGATGACCATTCTCTAGGATAAATTATAACATTAATTTGGGTGTCTATCAGTTCATATGTTTCATAAATTTTGTATTAATGTCTTTCTCGATATGTTACACTTTTATGCATAGAAATTCTAATACGAATTACATCACAAATCATTTATTTTCGAAAATCTAAATTTCTCTTAAAGTCCACATTTCAAAGCGCTTTGATAACTAAAATTAGTCATCAGCTGCTTCTCTTCTTATCCTATTTCACTTTTTCTTTTATTAGCTGCCATCTTTTTTAAGTACCATACAAAGAGTTATGAAGTCCTCAAAATTTTTTAAAACTATTTCATAATGTCACAATTGTTATAAGTAGATTACTTGTTGAGAATGCATTGCTGATATTTTAAATGTCAGTTTTCACTCATACAATTGAGTACAACAATAATAATTATTATTATTATTATTACTATTGTTATTATTATTGCTATTTTGAAATCCATTTATAACAATGTCAGCACTTCGGCAGAATAGTCATTAATAAAATGAATAAATTTCGGCAGGAAAAGATGTTTTAAAAGTTAAAATTCCATTAGGATACAACCAGAAGATACAAATGGAAGGGTAGAGAGAGATAGACCGATGTACGAAGGATAAGGCGACAACCGGACAGTTATTGTCAGATATGACTATTGCAAGTAAAGCTTGAGAAAGAAAAGAATCATTAGTGAAATAAAATGTTGATGGAAAATTAAAATTTAACCACAATTTGTTGCCCTAAGTGATGACAGGTCCAGTTTTGAAAATTTCAATAATGTTATGAAATGTTTTGCATAATTTTGATATTTTTTGAACGAAATGATTTGGATGACAAAATACGGAGATGAGATGGAACTTACATTATGATGAACTATTCTACAACTTTATTTAAAACGGTGTGCAGGAACTCATATCGGACTTGTTAAAGAGTTAATGAGAAAAAGGGACAAGAGGAAAGAGGTGACTGTCAAGAGGAGATTAGTCAGCTGATCGTTTCGCGTTTCATTTTGCATTCCCGTTTTTTCCTGATCAAGTTTGAATGAAAATAATGAAATATAGAATGTAAACGGATTAAGCACACTGAACGGCTCATTTTCCTCACAAGCGGAAGAAGAGTAAAAAAAAGAGAGAAGGGAAGGGAGAGAGAGAGAGAGAAGGGTAATGAGTCGTCATCTTATTATATCAAAGAATTACATCAAATGTCGAAACATATTATGCCAGACTGTATCAAAAGACTCATACCTCATCGAATTTATTGCTATACCAACGGGAAGTACTAATTACATTTGACATCCGCATGTGTAGGACACTCAATTTGCATATCGCACTAGGCGGTAGATTAGAAATGTTGAGGGAATCGCTCGCTGATTGGAGGGAAAAGGGAAATAAAGGAGAGGCAAATTAGGGTGATATATGGTTTGGAAACTCGTTGTCCACGTTTAATGTCCATTTATGGATAATGCGGACAATGTTCATATATAGATAATGTTCAGGTGAAGAGGGTATTCATAAAATTTTGATCTCTGTGCATATTGTTGAGAGTAATTAAATTTTGATAGTTATTTAGAAACAGAATGTGCTGACTGCAATATATCTTCTCAGCTTTTCATATCTCACACTCTCCTCTACTCTCTCATACTTCTCTTTCTTAAAAACGCAATTTGCATCAGAAATTTGTTTCACTTGTTTCATTTTAATGATAGTAATCATTTGAAATGCTTCAATTTTGCAGATACTGATTATTAGGAAGAAAAAAAGAGTCAACAAAAAGGATGGATCAAGCAATCCAGCATTTCAAGCTTCTTATGTATATGAAAAAGCCGAAACCTTGGCGTACAATGAACGAAAACGATGGGAATAGAATGAGCCGTTGTGAAAAAGCACGAAATGTTGATAGGATTTGCAGGTATTATAAGGATTGTCATTATTATGTAATCATTTAGTCCTTCAAAAATTTGATTAAATTCGTGAGTTAACGATAATATCTACAAGGAAACGCTATGCTAGTCCACACTTCTGATATTTTACTCAAAATTGATTTTATTTAGGCAACTAGTGATTAACCGTGCTCCGTGCATCCTCTTGAACTGTTGTACTCCACGAATCAGTAGAAAGAAATGCCATAAAAGGAAAGCTGAACCTCCGTTTTTAATACGAAGTTGTATCAGTGGGGTAGGTTGATTTTTTAAGGCTTTTCGTGAGCTTATTTGAAATAAGAGAAATTTATAAAAATTTTTCACTTTAGAATTACCGCTTGTAATTAATGTTCAAAGTCTTTGTTACATCTGTGATGAATTTTCGGTGCTTCTGGCATATCGTGGAGTTATTTCAGCATGAAAATTGGAGAAGTTATAAGCAAAGGATGCAAGATTGGATACAAACGATGAATCAGAAGAATTGGAATAGTCAATTCAGCTCTTCATTTGTAATGAATCAAAGTCAGATATCATATGATGATAATCAACTAGAAAATATGCCAACTTTTACAGTCGTATCAACAACTAGTACTGCATTACTGCGTTCCTTTTATACCATTTGGCATATTGGACGCATATCAAGGAAATCGTTGAAAACAAATGAAGAGGTCATTTTTTCTACTGTTTTTTTGAACTTCAGATTTCAGATTAGGTTCATTAAATGGTGTGGGAGTTCCATACTTTTTACGAGAAAACCTAACCTTTCCTTTCCCTTACGGTGAAATTTACTATCACGATTAAGTATTTGAACAGCAGATAGAATTCATCCACCAGAAGGTGGTGCTGCTATCTAATTAAAGAACATCTGTGATCGTTTTGTAGAATTTTTCGGATGTCAATTTCTTGGAAGAAATAGCAGCGTTCTTTTCTTGTAAGTTCTTGGCTTTTTCATACGTATTTATTTGTTATTAAGAGAAATATTTTTTAGCTTTTTTCATTTTTCTTTGAACAATAGGTACGGTATAAATGTTGGGCACGAATACAGCTAAGTTATTAAGTTAAGATCAGATTGATGCTTGCTTCGATTATTTTCCAAGATTTCCAGACTAAAACAGCTTTGAAAGAACTTTCGGTTTCACCAATAGTCGAAAAATGTCTGCGAGTAGTGCCAAAAGGTGGTATTACTGCTGAAGTGATCGCTGATAAATCGCAGTTATCAAAAAGAGCATTGCATACTCTGAGCCGATGGGCACGAATGACTGAAGATGTTGTGCAAGACGGATACGAATCTGGATACGATGACGATCCTGTAGAGGTCGCATTTGGCATCTCGATTATGACTAATAGAATTAGCAATTTTTAATGATATATGTTAGACAAAGATCAGCGACACACATTCCAAGATATTAAAATGTAACTAAAATGAATTTCATCGTTACAATGAAGTGAAAATTGCTATGTTATTGAGCATTATTCATGCTATGAAAATTTTATTTATAGTTACTATTTCGACAAAATTTCCATCAGAAAATAAATTGATTTAACTGTGTTTTCTTTGTTGTTTTCTGAAAATCTTGATATCTTTTCGTGTTGTTGGAAATAAAGATTGGGAACGTATGATTTCCCTCAATATGTCATGCGATAAATTTTATTTCAGATTTGGAATCGTGCGATAACTCTTGCTGATGTGTCATGCACGAAAAGTGAATTAAATGTCACTAAAACTACAGCTGTTGCAACTTCTTTTTCTACCAGTACGGATAAAGTAACGCCAAGAAGACGACCTAAGAGATTGCTTAAGTCTGCCAATATGAAAGTTTAATCATTATCCACGGAGTAGTGAACTGGAATATTTTCGGAATTTCTGACACCGTTTTAAAATGTGACAGTTAGTATTCTGGAAAAGATAATTATTTGGGGTGGCTCAAGCGCATTCATTTTTTAGGCTCTTATCCAAGTGGTCTGGGAATGAAAGAGAAAGAAGGTTCAAATCAAACACTCGCCTTTATATTTCTCTATTATATATTTTTTAAGCAGCTGTTTTTATTTTTAATTCATTTCAGTGTTATTACCGTGTTTACATGTTTTTCACGCTGCATGTATATCACGTTTTATGACTGAAATAAGTGGTACGTATTTATCATGTAACGTTCTGCGAATAAACTCCGTTTCCGGACATTCTAATGATATACAGAAACACAGAAACATAAACAATAGATGGCCTTTTAAGTAGTTAAATAAAAGTAAAAAAAAGAGCTGGAGAATCGAGAAAGCTAACAAATGAGGAAGGAAATGATTACTGGGCTGTCGATTTTCCAGATCATGGAATGGAGGATGTCAGAATTCTTAAGAGATGCTAGAGAAATGAGTGGAATAAACAGAAGAGGGAAAGGGAAACGAGAACATCTCGAAAGAACAGTTACGTGTTCTATGATGTATTAAGTGTTCCATGATAATTCATTGGCTTTTTTCCTTCCGCTTATTCAAGTTAACAACAATTGAAGCATGGAAGAATTTGAAATCTGGGCGAGTTGTTCGCATTTTAATTCCCGCCTATAGTAAACATACTTACTGTAGTTTGAAATGGATTTACGAATCCTGAATTTAGGCTAGCCGTTACACGTGTGACGCGCTAGTTCTGTGTTTGCAGTGTCCGTGATCGGTTGGTTGCACGCTGAGAGGTTTGGTTTGGTTGTTCAGTATTCTATTGATGGAATTGCCATATCTCTCAGGGGACTTGCAAGGCTTTATAAAGACATAATATTTCCGCAGGATTCATGACTTTGCGACTGAACATGACCTGAGAATTTGCGCAACTTTCCTGATCTCTTGATTGGGTTCTTTAGGATACGAAGCCGGGGAGATTAACACTTTGCTTCCAGGAATAGTTGACTGACTGCACAAAAATGGTTGCCATTTCGTTGCCAACAGTAATTGGAAACTTTGAGGGTGAAATTAGTCATGTGGTAGTAGCTGGGAATGAAACGTTAACTTTCATTAAACCATTCCAATGGCAAGAAGAAAAAAAGAGGATCTCCCTAAAACTGCACAGTTTGGCGCAGTCATTAAAGAAATTCCAGTCATTGTCGGCGGTGAAATCTGGTAAATTCATTATAATTACTCGGAAATTTATTAAGAATTAATATTAAAGAGGGTTAAAATAAAATAAAAAATTCAACAAAATTGGAAAATTTCTCCATATTAGTTTTGGACATGAGTTGCAAACATGCTATAGGAAGGATATTGTTAGATAATGTATATTGAGGTTAGAATCCGAAGCAGTGAAATCTCGAAGCATATGAAAGATGACACAAATCGCTAGCAGCAAACAAATTTGATTTGAATGATTTTACTAGTTCCAAATTCCGGGATCGTTACTGTGTTTATTTATAAGCATATAACTAATTTTAACAAATATTTTGTATTGTCCTTTACAAGTCAAAGATGGGCGAGTAGACTAGTAAGACTGATAAAAGACCTACTTGAGATCAGTCGGCTTATCTTTTCGTAGCGGAGCTAAATAAGTATAGCTGGAGCTTTAAAATTCCCAATCTTGCCGGGCAATAATAGCAAATACACAACAATATAATGTATAGTGGTAGAGGAAGATGAAACAATATGCCCCTTTCAGGAGAGGTATATATCGCGAATGTAAAAGGTTCACTGGAACGGTCATACATTATCCGAAGACCAACGCCAGATACATATTCCGTAAATTTGTCTAAACTTTGAAATTATGAAGGTTACACATGCACAAATATACGTCTTGCTGATGCGGTATTGCTCTGCATATGTTCCATGCAAGTTAAAAATGCATGCATTCTGTGTGCATGTTATAGAAAACTACAGTTTCATATCTACATAATAAATACTGGTTAACACTGTCGATAATCTATAACTGATCTCACTTCTGTGAATTCCACAGATTTATCTCATTGACAAAGGCATGCAATGTGAAGCACAATTCGATGATATTTATGAATTACCTCCAGAATTACTGGATTTTGCATTGTTCAGTTGCGTTTGTCCCGTCTTCGTACCATTCGCTGAACAACTCAATATCTATAAAGCTTTCGTTGGACACAAGTGCAAATGCGAAGTGGGTAAGTGCACTGAGAACGGCCGATTTTGATAGTACGGTTATTTTCCAGCAATGCGCGAAGCTGGCAAAATTTCTCTCACACATCGTATTTAGGATAAATTTAGATGTTGTAATCTATTAGCTTTTATTTTAGTACGTAAACCNTAAATAGAGTCCAAACCAGAAACGCGAGGTACGATGACTATACCGTCTGTTTGGCAAAGGTTAGATGTTCCTGAATTAGTGGTTAGAAGAATTAGTTGACTGCGAAAGTTCAGAAGCCAAATATATAGCATCCATCACTGGCATGATAAAACACGTTGATCAGGGAGCTGATCATCATTAATTAATCTATGAACATTTGTTTTCCAGAAACTGTATCAAGATCGTTTGTGGTGTTGGGGTATGTCCGTGGTCGATTACTGGTTGAAAATGGTGACCTTTATGAAGATTTGCAAGACATTGTTTCTGGAAGGCTGGCAAACAATAACCTGGACAATTTCGGTAAAACAAAGGAAATTGCTTTTTTTTATCATGTATGGTACTGAACTTTGACCTTTGAAATCTTGAGAGGGAAATTGGCTTGGAACCAATTAGTTATACATTATTTCTTTTCGGTTTTGATGAATATATGAATCGATTGATCTGTAATTCTTTCTAAAAGTATTAATCTCTATCTGTTTGAAGCTAAAGGATCCGTCAGGTTTGAAATATCTGAAAGAAGCACAATTTTGTGGACAACCAGTGGACAAATGGATGACTGTTCCAATAGCGAACTGACTTGCCGTTGCTCTTCTACGGAAAAAGTAAAAATCTCTTTAAATCCTTAACTTTTGATAGACTTTGAATGTATGATAAAAAGAATAAGCTATTTTTGCTACCTAACGTTATTTCGAGCTTCATTTATTTACTTTTGTCAGTTGCACTAAAACTGTCAACTTCATGCAAAAAAACTTCAGGTTACGCGAAGGACACGAATCGTTGGCCGTGCTCCTTGTAGAAGAAGTTCTATCGCGTCAAAAAAAATCAAATACGGTCAGCAATATGGTAGTATTTTTTGTTTTTACCAAAAAGCTATCTTCTATTAGTTGCTTCTCAAAATACGTATTTAAGTAAGTGTTACGATTTCTGTAATTCTTTGATTAGGTAAGAAAAGTCAACTTCTTGATACTGGCAGTGCGATATTTGAAGTTATAGTTCAAGTATATGATTTCGGAGTTTCCAGAAAGTTTCACTTTTAGGCGTATATTACATCGAATTTTAAAAGTACATTTTGTTTTAGGCAGTCATATGAATACTGAATTGTGTATTGAATATGACACAATAAAGGTAAAGATTTTTAAAAATTCTGCTCCTTGAAACGCTATTCTTTTTTCTTCATATGTTATTATTACTTATGTTTCATCAGGTCCAAGCACTATTCACACAAACAGCGTTCAAACAGTACAAACCTGACGCAATTCCAGCAACAATAAGTGTCCGCTTCGATAAAAGAGATCGGGCATTGGGCAGATTTTGGGTTGTCAACAAGAGTATATTTTCAACTATTGAACGGGTGTGTTTATGAATTTCTTTACGAAACATTTTATCCCACACTATTATATTTTTCTAGCATTACATTCTTACTAAATCCAAAAAATAATTCAGTATTTCCTAAAGTTTACTTTCATATCCCCAGTGCTTAATGAAATGAACTATAAGATGAACTGTAGTAAATCATTGCTGCTGTACAAAGTAAAGGGCAATAGATTTGAGCAATTTCTGACTACAGGATTACTAAAACTACGGGTTGCTTTCAGATATTGAAGGAAAGTGCTGAAAGGATAACTGGATTTCCACTGCTACGTCAAAGATTAGATGATGTTCCGATAAGAGAAATACCATGTATTGTGCGTACTCGAGCCGAAAGTGCTTATAAAGCTTTCTACCGTGCAGTTGCTTCTCGGTTCGATGCACGCACAAAGAGGTATTTGTTTTAAGGAATTTAAACAGTTAACCCAATTTTCCAACTAATAGAATCAAATAGTTAAATTTTTGTCACATTTGCAGTTTTTAATTTTATTTCAGATTTTCAATTTTTCTAGTGGATTTTGGTTGGTTCAAATGGGTGCTGGCTAAGGATGTTATCGATATATCCGCCATGGATAAAGTTAGCACCTCTAGTTTTGGTAGTTAAAGAAATTCGACAATTCGAAATGAATGACCAGCAATTATTTATATCTGTCTTATTATTTTCATTGCTAGTCCTATGCTACGGTCATATTGTAGATTTGCGTCTTTTTTCTTTTTACTATAAATCATCTTGTTGAAGTCTAATCCAATTCGAAATCTGCCGGTAGCAATGATACATTGTCAAGAGGATGTGACCAGTGTACTACATGCCAAAGTATGTTTCTGAATGACTATCTACATTTTAAAGGGAATTGATCTTGAAAAGTAATTATAATTAGTTCTATCGATCTTTTTTTATTCTAACGTTAACACTGACAAAATTGCTGCACTGAATTATCAGAGAGTTTTGGGAAACTTTGCATATTATTGGAGGCTTGCAGGACCTTTCGAAGGGAGCAAATTGCTACATGAGGGTGAATGAATATCCGATTCAGGATGTATATTTAGTTGATTTATTGGAAACTGGCAGGACTATGAACGATATGCTGACTGGTGCGCTTGATGTTCATTATATTTTTCTTTCAAAACTCTATTTTCTTTTTACTGTTGCTAATTTTTTAGTGACTTAAGAACAGGATTTTGCAGGCAGTATGGGAGAGACTGAAGGGACCTCATCAAGCAACAAGTCGTCCAGTGAAACCTGTGAGTTAATAGCATCGATGATGTTAGGAACGTTGAACAATGCAAACCATGATGTGGCTGCACAAACTCAACATACTTGGTGCTTTTACGGCTTTTGTCATGTTGCCCCCGTTTATGATACTAATTTGTTGTGCTATGAAGATAGAGAGCTTGTGTAGATATAATTAACTATCATTGGATAAAATTCTGAATCTTGGTCCTATATTTTCAATGATTTAATTTTTAAGATCGTATTACTTGCTCATTAATTCAGGCCCATTTGTCCTCCACCATTTTCGATGATAGTGCCAGTAGCCTTGCCAATGATGGTGTCAGTACCAGTTCCGAACGCAGATTTACTGTCTACTGGACATGAACAGACTTCGAAGCTTCAAAATTCACAAACGAAGAATATAGAGAATACCTATATTCCTCAAAATAATATTAAATATTCGGCATGTTACCGAAATTATATCGATCAAAGGTAAAACTAATTCTTTTTTTGGGTGCCGCCATGGTGGTCTATTGTTTGGTGTTTTAGAATTACTTTATTGAATTTTATTAAATAGCACTACTTTAAATAATCGTATCATAGTAATTTACCATTCATTTTATTTTTATGATGCCTATATCTATTTCGGCTTATTTGACTTGAGTGATAACTTTTCCGCCGAAGCTTTTCTACTGAAGTTTGACTTACAGGTTTCCGGGAAGTAATTCGCAAAATATACAGAGAGAAGGGTATGGCAGCGATTTATCGATCAGAAATAACGTCAGTTTTACATCAGGAGACAGAGCAGGAAATTCTTTTGATGGAGGTAAGTTGCGCTTGTTCTGTAGTTACAAAAGGATTGCATGTTACCTGACTAAATCATCTGGTTCGAAGTTTCTAAGTGAAAAGTAAGATTTTTAAAATGAAAATATTTTATTTAGATTATTTAGTAGAAATTTTCAGGTAATGGTGGTTCAAAGTTTGCAAAGGGTCATCATATGTTGCGAAAAAGTAAGAGCCGTTCAGATTCATTTATAAGCGTTTTTGCAAATTCACAAAATATCTGAGTTCCTGTCTTTGGTGCGCTCTCACTTCTCGCTTGTGCATGCCATGAATGGCACACGGAAGTCCAGTTAGCGATTAAGTTTACACGATTCAAATCAGTGATACTATCATACCAATCTTGTCAAGCAAAAAAAATTCTTAACAGATATGATTATTTTTGCAGATTTCGACAGTAATTCATACAGGGTGAGATTAACGAATTGGGAAAAGGTTAGAATATATTTTATTTCACATTATTACGATAGACTGATTAATAATTATTGATAGTATACAAAAACTTGATTTCACTTGAATTTCATTGGATTATTATGGTACTTGTTTAAATATCGGTAAATGACATAATTTGTTGGCACATGTTGTCACTGCGGTATCCATTGCTTCGTTAGAAACGTAATGAGAATTTTCATTTTAGCAATGTTTTTAATGTGCATAGTATGTTAGTTTAAGGCTGTCGGTGCAGACCGTGCAATTCGAACAAAAGGTTCTGCTACTGGAGAACAAGCAACCTCTCATGTAGATGATGAATCAAATCAGCTTATATGAGTTGCATATACGTATCCTTTACCTGACTATTAAATATGAAGCTCCAACACAATTCTAAATATTTTTGTGTGAAAAAACTTAAGATTTACATCAAATGTACACAATTAATATCACACGAAATCGTCTTTTATTTGTGTGTTAATAATATATTTTTATATCTTACGTGTTTCAAATTTCTTATGTTTATTAATAAAATTATTTTTGCCAACCATTGAGTGTTTTAATCCATCTTTAATTATTTAAAATGTTGAAGAATATGTACATCCTGCCCTCTCTCTCTCTCTCTCTCTGTAAGCTGTTATTATTGTTTTCTTTTGTCGGGTTATGGCTATTAAAATTCGAAACTTTATGATGCATAACACGATTTTTTATAAAAGCTTGTAACCACTGTTCTGAGACAAGTGATGAAGAAGTTTCGAGTTTTGTCCTTTATAATTCTAAACTTTATTGTTTAATAACAAATATGTTGGAAACTAAGATTTGGCGTTGACTATCATTTACGGTTCAAGAATAGCTTCGGTGACAATCGTCTTTTCTAAAATGTTTATTTTGATTAATTGCGAACTATTGTTTACAGTGATTTTGCTTTTTATTATAATTTTGTGTAGTCTCTCTATTAAGCAGTGGCTTTTGAAAGCTCAAATGGATATTACCAGTAGTAATGGTAAAAATGAAAAATAAGAGTGAAGCAAAAGAGAACTGCTCTGTATGACACTTGACGGCGAGCCTCCTTCTGGCATTTCGCCTGCTGCGTAAATCTTCCACAATGTCTCTCCGGAAATGAGAAAGATAACATTAAAGAGTGGATGACTGAGCGAATTAAGGTATGTGTCTTCAAGAAATCCATCGACATATACATGCGAAGGCCCTCCAATTCCTGATGTGAGGAAATTTCGTAATAACATCGGGTTCCAGAACAGGTGGCAGTCGGTTCTTTAATTAAAGGACGAGTGATTCATTTATAACAGTTTGGTATAAATCCATCTGAGAGAGTAATATTTTGTTGCTTCATGTCAGAGAGAGAGAGAGAGTAATATCTTCTTGCCTTCACATGGAGTGGCCACGGCCTATTTCTTAGTTGCATTTCTTTCATATGTCTCAATGAATAACACATTTTCCAATAAAGAAACTCGGTAAGAACGTGCGGTTCGCTGTGCACATAATCTTTCATTCACTTTTCCTGTTCACATTCAGAATAAACTCTTTCTTTTTGAGGTTTTCAGAGTATAAACCTCTTCAAATGATATGTTATTTTGGAAACGATTAAATTGGCGTCTCATCCGAAACTTTGGCTATTTCTACTGTGCTTCATATGCTCTTGGTCGTCATGTCGGTGAATTAGTGATATGTTCAGGACCGTCGATGCATCCAACAATACAGGATGGTGATTTGGTAGGTACTATTCAAAAATCATCGAGAAGAGGAAAAGTATGAAGAGGTTGTTGAAGTTTGCTATATCTTGCATTCAACGATTGATGGAGTTATTTACTAAATTTCCAAGTGTTTCAGTAAATAATTGTTGATCAGTGAACTGCGTTTATGTCATATATGCAATATAATTCTTCAAATAATTTTTGAATGATTGAGTGTCTAACCTGTTTTGTTTTAAGACCACCCAAAATTTCTTATTTCACATAAATTTTTTACTTTTTTTGTATGTTTAATTCACATTGGTTTATGATTATCCATGACCTTCATTTTTTCCTTACTCAATAATGGATTGTATTTTTTGATTAAATCCCCTAATTGCAGGTGATTGCTGAGCGGCTTAGTGTCCATTTGCGCAATTTACGACGTGGCGATATTGTCGGTGCTTTGGCACCCCATGATCCGAGCGAAATGCTATGCAAACGTTTAACAGCTATGGAGCACGATATAGTGACAAATTGTTATCTATTACCAAATGGGAAGATCCCACGGGGACATGTATACTTAGAAGGTGATAACAAGGCAGCTTCTACCGATTCTCGAATTTTTGGTCCGATACCGGCCGGTCTTGTACAAGTTCGTCTGATATTCAGGATATGGCCTTTCTCAAGAGCTGGATGGATATCGGCGCACTGGTTCTGGGAGAAACCAAACAGTAATTGATTGTATTGATTTTTTGAGGCTTTTGGTCGAAATTTCTGATCGCTTAAATTTTCCTTTCTTTAAAACCGTAATATGGTGTGTGACACTTTTAGGATTTGATCGAATGCTAAGAATCATATTTACTGACTAACAGGTAGAGCGAACTAAGAGAGTCAAAACTTAAAGAAAATTAGCAAGGAGGTAATTGGTGATGGCGTGACATCATCTGATATTTGCAGATATCAGCAGCATAATGCTCTTGTTTTTGTTATCATTCATCAGGACATGTATATATAAGACTTACTGTTGCTTTTCTCATAAGTACATGAAAAGTTTGTTGGTTGTTCATAGAATAATACGTGCCCATTTCTTTTTCTTTCGAAAAAAATGCTCAGCTTTATACTGTGATTCCCTTGATTGAAAATACGACTGAAAAATTCTAAGTCCTGAAGTCTCAAGTTGACAGAGAATGTTAATAAAAAGAATGTAATAAAGATATAATAAGTAAGGTGGTGACAAATGACATAATCGAAATTTATAAATGTGAAATTATGGAAATTTCGAATCTGTTAGAAGGGGAACCACAAAACAAGAAATTCAGAGTGGTACTTTTGAAGAGATTCGTTACATTGTATTAGAAGAAAAGAGAAGGCATTGGAAGGAATAGGTAAGTAACTCGAGTCAGGTACAGATGCACCATAAGTTAACCTCGAGTCAGGTACAGATGCACTATAATCTATGGCAGAAGAGCGCAAATCAGAAAAGAAGGAAAATAAGGGAGGAGGCAATGTGGGTGCAGCTGAGCTATTTGGCAGCAAGTGGAACGACAGCTTTTGCATTATGTTCTAATTATGTTATCTTTACATTAACGGGCCGCATGTGGTGCGTAGATAGCGTGGTGGGTGGCAATTGTATCGGTGGATGCGGGTATTTGCTTTGTGCTGGTAAGTTCCATTCCAGCTGTTGCATTTTCACAAGAAGGAGAACTATTGTTATATATTATAGATGCGGGCATTCTTATCATATTTCTTTTACGCAAGACGGTATTACCGTCAAGATGGTATGTTAGTGTCGTCTTTCTGTTTTCATAACGATAGTTGAAGAGAAAGCGATTTTCACATTATTTCTTGTTTT